CCGCGGCGGGCTGAGCCGCTCAGCCCGCCCCGCTCTGGAGTTCCCGCTGCCGGCTCCTGCCAGCCGGGGTCCCCGCGGGTCCCACTCAGCACCTGCTGCCAGCCTGGGGGAAGGAACCCCAGGCCGGCAGCGGGCTGAGACCCCGGGTGGCAGGAGCTGGGGGCAGAAACCCCAGAGTGGCGGCAGGCCGAGCCAGTCGCTGCTCTGGGGTTCTGGCTGCTGGCCCCTCGCCAGCAGGGGTCTCTACCGTGCAGCTCCACTCACCTTGCTTCCGGTTGGAGGCTCTCTTGCAGACAGGGTCCAGGCCTCCAGCCCTGCTCAGGCCTACCAGCCACCTACTCCATTCACCTCAGCTGCCAATCTTGGTTTCCAGCCCTTGCTCATCCTGCTTTCGGGCCTGGAGTCCCAGCAGGCCGCCCTTTACATATAACAGTAGTTTGGTTATATATTATAGACTTAGAGAGAGACCTTCTAAAAAGCGTTAAAATGTATTACCGGCACGCGAAGCCTTAAATTAGAGTGTATAAATGAAGATTCAGCACACCACTGCTGAAAGGTCGCCGACCCCTGCAATAGTGCATAAAAGTGCCAACACTTACCACTGAAATGCAATCACTTGGGGTGGGAGAGTGGAAGAGAGAGACATGACAACTATTTAAGAGAAAACAGCAAAGCAACCTGCAGCTTCTGAATGGAAGGGAAGGCAACACTAGCGTTCACTGGTAAAAGAGGAGGACTTTTACTTAAGCAGAATGTAATTATCTGAGCTGCAATGTTGCCGGGATGGCAGGGGCCGGCATCGCTGCTCTTAAAAAAAGCACTGATAACAACACTGAACTCTTACAGGGCACTTTTCATTCATAAATCTAACAGATTTTACAAAGCAAGAAAAGTAGTATTATCCCCCTCTTTGCAGATGGGAAAGCTAAGGCACAGAGTGAAAGTGGCTTACCTAAAGCCACACAGCATTTCAGGCTCCCAGTCCAGTGTACAATCCACTGGGCACTGTATTATGGGATCTGTAGTGACCATGAGTTTAATCTCTCATCGAAAGGAACCTAAACTCCCATTTCCTCTGTGGGGAGCAGCACTATGCTTTCTGAACAGCAAAAAAACTAGGTTAAAAAGAATAAACCCAAAGAATCTGAGCAGGACCCAATTCTAAATTGGGCACAGGTTCCCAGCAGCCTCGTGGCTGCACAGCACCCAAAGGAGGGGAAAATGAAAAGAGAGAGGGAGACAGGTTTGTTCCAGACACAGTTCTTGTTTAGCAAGTGTAAATGCAATTTTAAAATGCATAGAGGTTTGAACAAAACCCATCTGTCATGGTTTTCAGTGGGACGAAATATCCATCAATCCTGCAGAAAGAATTTTCTCTCTTACAAAAGTAAGTATTGATTCAAGGTCATGGTGGGGCTAGAACTCAGCCTCCTACTCCAAAATGCATAGGGCCTCACAGCTGTCAATTCCCGCACCCTTCCTTTACAGGCAGCCAAGGGGTCGCTTTGCTGCCATATCATTTTGGGGGGAGAGGGTGGCCAATCAGTCCCTCCTCCCCCAGCCTCTGCTACCACCGCAATGCAAGAAGCAGCACCAACAATGATCAATTTTAATGTTTTCATCCCTGTCGGTTTCAGATCTGTCAAGCTGACGACCTCATCATGCCGTTCACATGGCCCTACGCCTCCCGCATCAGCTCTGAGCTGGAATGTCATCCTCGGCTCTTGCAGTGTGTTGATAACATGGCTCCCATGTTACATGTTTATTTCCTTGTTAATGTTGTTCAGGGTTCCATTTAGCCAGTGACGCGGCAGTAAATAAATAAGGAAGTATGCTTCAGGAATAGCTCTGAAGTTTTGTGGCACACAAGGGCCTCAAACTTTGTATTTAAAAATGCATTTATACATGACATGAAAAACGACTCAAAATATTTTGTTGTCAGCAATGGGTTCCCTGTGGCTGGAGCCTTAACTCAGGTAATGCAACCTGTATACACAGAGTTGGGTGGAGGGGGAAGATTTTCTATAGCCCCTGAACTGTTTTAGAAACTAACTGTTCAACCACTGAACTCAGACCCCAAGAATCAGGGGGTTCCTGTGGGAAAATCATTCTGATGATCAAACAGCAGTAGGTGACCGCAAAGGGGACCCACTAATGTATTTCTGTATTAGCAAAAGGGTGCAACACAAACCAAAAGAGGCAATGCTGGGACTAGATAAGGCCCTAGTGAGACCCCACTTGGGATACTGTATGCCGGCCTATGGCCCATCCCACTGCAAGGGGATTATGGCTCTGCCACAAAGGCGGGTGTTGAGGAGGCACCAAGTCCAAAGAATGTAAGTTTTCAGGAAGATCTGGGGAAATTGTGCTGATTTTCACTGGAAAGGAATAGCCTTTGGGGTAATCTGATATAGCAGATACTAATCTCTAACCCTCACCCTTTTCTGCCCTCTCCCATCTGAGGAGCTCAATGTGCTCCACAAGCATTAGTGAGTGAATCCTCTCACAACTCTGCAAGGAAGGTCTGGATTAACACCCCCATTTTATAGATGAGGAGACTGAGGCAGTGACCTGCCCTGGGTCACACAGCAAGTAAGTAGCAGAGCTGGGCACAGAACCCAGCAGGCCTGTCTCCTTGGCCCCAGCTCTGATCACTAGGCAGCGCTCCCTGCTGGATTTTTAAAATTCCAAAAAGGATTGAGGGAAACAGTTTGCCCATTGAAGGCATCAAAAAGGAGGGGGAAATAATGTGATGGTGCGGCAAGTGGGAGTAAAACAGGGGACCTGGGCAGAACTGCTTTCTGCAAAGGGGAACAAACAGAAGTTACCAGGGTAGGGGATTGAGACAGAGATGCCCCCTTAATTCTCAGGGCTGAGAGGGCTGCTGACAAAACAGGATGAAGAGGGTGAGTTGAAGCAAATGGCTGGATGCAGGGTGCTGCAGGAAAAGGATGTGGGGGGCAGTCAGGGGCTGGATGGGGCATGTTGGACTGGAACAGTTTCCTATGTTCATGAGGACTTCCCTAATATTTTGTTTTTCCTTCCCTCCCCACCCCCCATAATATCATGGGGCTAACCCCCCCACACACCACATGTACTGTAACTCCAGGGATGAATTTGGCCTGTGATGATTATGGCCCAGAGGACGCTAATTCTGATGCAGTCACGTCCACCCCTTTCTTGAGCTGGACCACCGGAAAGTGTGGGCATGACAGAAATTGGTATCAGGACCCTGCAGGCTGGAAGATGCTGCTGTTGGGTGTTTTTCTTGGTAAGCTAAATATAGAGAAGCCAGTGGACTGAATCTTTAGTTTGCCTTCTGTGCTTCTACCTTGACGGGCTCTGCACAGGTTTCAGGAACAGTTTGAGATTACAGAATTAATTAGAATTAAATTAATCAAATTATCCACCACAAAACTACCTGTGTCTGTGAAGTAAGCAACTCAGCTGAGAAGGGATTCCACAGCCAGGGCTGATACCTGTCTTCATTGCCATGCATGGCTCCCATTTGACTTGCAAGCCTAGGACATGTGCTGAGGCATGACTCTCAAAGGTGTGGGATGCCTCTTGCAAATTGCTGATTGCCCTCAAGCCCCATGGAACTTCAGAAGGAGCTCAGGCTCTGGAACAGCTCATTACTATGATGCTGGTTCTGATCCAACCCAGGTGAGGCAGACACTGGATAGCTTTGAGCATCGGGGAGTTTTCCCTTACCAAAAGCAATGATGATCAGTTTAAAATGAGAAGGTGTGTCTTAATCGAGTTCTCAATAGACATGTGTCCACGTCACAAAATAACCCATCCCAGTCGCTATAGAGTGTTTTGAACATGTGTCCTCCATGTTGTCATGTCCTATGAAATCATGCCGGAGTCTCCCTGACATGCACACTCCATCATTGGCTCATGCGCAGATTAAAACTTTTGGTAGATGACCCTTAAATGTGTCTTGTCCTGAATCAGAGACACTCAGGGAGTAAAGTCCAAGGCAAAACTCCAGGTGACTTGAGCTGGATGATATTTGGGCCTCAGGGAAGGATGGTCTGCACTTGAGTGGTTAGAGTCTTAGCCTGGATTCAGGAGACGTGGCTTCAATTCCCAGCTCTGCCACAGACTTCTCATGTGACCTTGGGCAAGTCTCTTAGTCTTTCTGGGCCTAAGTTCCCCATCAGTAAAAGGATAAAAGGTAAAAACACCTCCCTGGGGTGTTACAAGGCTACCTGCATTAAGGATTGTGAAACACTCAGTGCTGGGGGGCTGAAGAAATACCTTAGAATAGATAAAGACCTTAACGGCTTTGTCTCATTGGGTCTGCATGCCTGGTGGGGTGTGTTTATTCAGTGGTCTGATGGAGCTCTGTGAGACATATGCATCACGCAGACTGGTGCTTTTGTACAGAGGCAAAAGGCAGAAATAACCAGGTTATGATTTTAAGGACACTGGTGTGTACCCTGCTCTGAACACTTGGTTTGCATCAGGTAAATATAATAGTAATATCTAGCTCTTACCATCCGTAGATCTCAAAGCACTTTACAAAGCAGGTCAGTCTCATTATCCCTGTTTGAGAGATGGAGAAACTGAGGCGCAGAGAGGTGAAGTGACTTACACAGGGTGTCCTAGCAGGCTGGTGGCAGAGCCGGCAATAGAGCATAGGTCTCCTGAGTCCCAGTCCAGTGCCATATCACTAGGCCACGCTGCCTGCCCATGAAGAATGCAACTCTGTGGGAGATTTGTCTGCGGGGGAACTAGAAGCTGCAAAGTGTTGCTAAAGGGTAATGAAAAGCTCTAGTCCTGCACTGTCAGTGGTGCTACACAGTTCCTTAGAAGGCAGGTCGAGCAGTGGATGGGCTGCCGAGTGCACCAGCTGATGCCAACAGCTCTCACTTGTTATGAAAAAAGACAGTTATGTAAATTCACTCCTATGCTCACATGCCTCTCCGGAAAGTCAGGCCAAGTCTTTCCTCCTCTGTGGGGCTTGTGATTGGCTCACCCTGTAAAGTGTGTGGTGGTTCTCCGGGACACGGGATGCTATTTAAAAAGAAAGTGCATTATCATTGTGCTAATCACTGTCCTTCCCAAGCACTTCCCGGTTTCAGTCCCTTCTCACTTATTTAAACATGCAACTTGGGCCCTTGTGTGCAGGCCCACTGGCCAGGCCCCTTGCCCTACACAAAGCTTTGCTAAAGATGTCTCTGGCTCCCCCGGCCCAGAACCCCCCTGAGCGTGATAGAGGGTTGCAGGGACTGGAGGATGGTGGGGATGCTGAGAGCTCCCTCCATACAGCACAGTGGGAGCCAGCGAGGAGAAAAGTGCTGGCTCCCGCACCGAGTTCTCTGGAAATGTGAGGTGACAGTCCTCCACATCCCTGCATGGTTTTGTATTCTTGGAGTAGCAGGGGAATGATTATATCCGTCCAGGTCTCTGCTGAGCTCCAAGGGAACACGCAGCTCGGCGCTTCCAGCTGCCCTCGGATCCAGGAGCTAGCAGGGAGCCTGAAAATAGCATATTTCTCCTGATATGATTTCTCTAGCCCGGAATGACTTCCAGGATGATCAGCAGAGACAAACACTCCAGAAAGGAATGTTAATGCCCTCAAGGCTGTGGTGGCCAAAGAGGCTGAATCTTCCCCCACAGTACACGCTGACATATCATTATCTGTGAGCCTGCATGTGAAATGAATCGAGACTCTCCCAGCTAGGATCCTGCTGGAACCCTAATGAAAAGTCTCTTCTCATTCTTGCATGCAGACAATAAGAAATAACCAAAGAAACCTTCAGCCTCCCCAGGCCTATTCGTTATATAACTAGCCTGATTCATGATCAGTCTTTCTTTCATAATCTGCAGGCACCCCCCGAATATACTCTGTGTGTGTGTATGCATATATGTATACATATGACACACACCATATACTATGTGTGTATAGATATGCATAGACAGACAAAAAATCTATTTATCTACACAGCAACCCATTGTCTGGGAGACAGCCTGGTCTTCTGAATTTTTTATGGCTCCAGTTAGCTTGGAGACAATCCAAAGATCAAATTCTGTACTGTATCTCCAGTCACCTTGCCAGTCAGCACAGATCATGGGGCTCTGGTACTTTCTGAATCTCTGATCACCTACAGGGCACTAAATTACTGCCATTAGACTGCAATTCGCTGTACAATATTACTCTTTGATACACTACCTGCCTTTGTCTGGCTGCATAGCGGCGAGAGCGGTATGCATTATTTACCAGGCTAAGTACACAGCCACCGCTGCTGCACAAACGGAGGAGAATTGGGGCTGGGCTTGAAATGTAAAAAGGTGCCATTTGGGGTTGTCATCACATCCCAGGCAGAAGCTAGTCTGCATTTGCCTGAGCCCTTGTTCAGATGAGATGTGGTCACTGTCCTGGAGACAAGCTCCTCCAAACTTTTGACCAGGACTTTGCAACAACCAAAGAAATGTAATGCCCCTCCCCCCACCACAATCCAGCCCAATTTTTACCCTGAGCCGAGCACCTGCTGGGATAGCACCTGGGGAGCTTAGTCAGTGCTGTGGAGATGCCTGTCCAGCGCAGAGATGATCAATAAGGGTTGCAGTCATGCAGCCTCAGCACCTTGATTTAATGATCTCCTAGTAACCAGGGACGCAGCAGCCGTGTTTTGCTTTATTGCAAAGCGATAACTGTGGTGTAGTATGACCTCCCTCCAAGGCAATGGCGTGTCTGTGAAGGAGGAGCTTCCTGAACACTGGTCAGGTGAAAGGAGAGTTTCTAGTTCTCTCTCGAAGTGCAAGGGGAATTAAGACCTTGATCAAGTCCCTCCCCCCCCCCTTGCATATCGCCCCCCAGTCCCCGCTTTATGTCAGTGCATAGTTAGAATGTGTCTTATCCTTCCAGTAGCATGCTCCTTTGATTATAAAGGATGCTGTTCCTGG